GATGTTTAAGCCTTTTTCTGCGCACTTACTTTATGTGTCTTAATCTGACAATATTTAAACTGCCTTTTTACTGAAAGCAAATATTTTTTATGAGCTTGTTCTCTTTGTCATTTGATTTCCAGACTTCTGTTTTATATTAGGATATTGAAATTACTTTCTGCTTACTAAATGTGAATTTACTTGCAGTTAAGAGTTGACTTATGGCATGTTTATTTGAATGGGACATGTTATATAGGATGGTCTTCTTTGAATTTGCTGACATCTAGAATGGAATAGATATATGTTGTATCTTGGGTCTGCTTACAGTTAACATAGTGTTTATGCTTTTGGTCCTATAATTACATTATATATTTTAACCTGACAGCATTTAAAATATCTTTGTATCTAGTTGTCTTTCTACTGAAAGTAAAGGATATTTGTGAGATTGCTCTCTTTTAAAGGAAAAATTGTCCCTTTTCATCATGTTAAAGTATTTTTGTTCATACTAGGATATTGGGACCATTTTATGCTCTCTAAATCGACTTGTTTACAGCTAAGAGTTCAGATGTGGAATGCTAAGTTTTATATATGTTAAATAATGTTATTATCTTAGGTATCTGTTTGGACATTTAGTGACACCCGTATTAGAGAAGATTTGATTTGCCTATAGATAAGAGTTGAATTATGGGATGGAGAGTTTTATATCTCTTAATCAAGAGGAAGGGAAGAGAGTATGAAATTGTTATTAGTAAATATACTACAATCATAATAAGCCTTTCTTTCAGATATATACTTCTGAGTTATACCTAAGTTTTGTTTTTATTTTGTTGATTTCATTGTTTTATTTATTTATTTTCATTCTTTTCAAATTTGTTCTTCAAAACATGTATTTTGTTTTCAGAGAAATTCTTATCACATTATTAAGGACTCCTCCAGAGCCCTTTGCAAGCAAATGGAATTAATTAACCTCTGAAGATACATACACTGCATCAGCAATGAGGAATAGTTGCTACAAGCATAAGTCTTAAAAGATGGTCTGATCATTACAAGGGAGTGGTAAAATCTTGAACTATCAGACTGACATTGTCTTTCTGAGTATAGGGAAGAAAATCTAAATATTGACCAGCTGCATGTAATGCATGATGACAAATTGGGAAAATCATGATTGTCAGAGTGGCTGTGAATTCTTAGTTGCTCCACTATGATAGACTTAATATGGAAGTTGGTTTCACAGAACCATCATTCTGGAAGATTTTAAATCAAACAGGAATTTAGACTACATAACCTGATTAATCAGTTACCTATTTTTCTATGAGAAAAGACTATCAAATGATGTAAAATATCCAAAGCAGATGATTTAAAACATTTTGCTACCTGTGTGCAGCAACAAATAGCACCTTTGGGCAAATATTCAGGGATGGAATTCAACCAGTATTACTGCCGGTTCGGAAATTACATTTTGCGCGTATACTACACCATAAGCTGTGCTACCTGGACAGCTGATAAGTGCCGCGCGCGGGTGCACAGCATTTGAAAAAGCACTTTTTTAAACTGCTTTTTCAACCTCAGCTGCACTGCGCAAAGCAGCTGAGGTTTAGGACAGATAACAGCCCAGGCAGGTGGGTGGAACAAATAGCAGCAGACACAGAACTGGTTCTGTGTCTGCTGCTCTTCAGAGCTACTGGTTCTATAGAGCTGGGCAGAACCAGTAGCATCACACCCCCGCAAATATTTCATTTTGAGAGCACAGGTAGAAAAATTCACATTTTCTCTCCTTAATGATATTCTAAAATACTAAAATTAGCAATCTGGTAAAATTTTATAAAATTTTATAAAACTCCACATCATTGTGCCCCAAACTACTTACATTGTATTGATAGAGCTAGTTCTATATTTCAGTGTTGTCCAATTTTGATAAATGAAACAAAATATTTTTAGGGTGCTCATGTCTGGCATATTTCCAAGGCTTCCCAATTCAAAATACATTTACAATTAAATATGGATTTTCAGACATAGATCATCAATTAATATAAAAATTGGTGACACACAGTTTTGGTATAAATTATATTCATATTCATATCATATTTTGATATAAATTATATTCATATTTTGATATAAATTATATTCATATTGTGTGTCACTCAGTCATGTGAGTAGTGTTCACTTTTTTTTCTTTTGCTTATCATTGTAAACTGTCAATGAATCCAGCAGGGAATAAGAACACAATGTACTTCAATATGCCTGTTTCATTAACTGTGTATTTCATAATGTTCATTTTGAAACAACATAAATAGATTCAAAAATCACATGACAACAAAAATGTTACCTTGGAAATGTTATTTTGGACAACTATGTCAAATTAGTATGTCACTTTTTATGTAAAAGATTCAGCATGCTTTCTCTACCAGGAGAAACAAACTTCTTCATGCTCTTGGTGAAAAATGAATTCAGAGTAGATATGTATGAGTTATAACAGTTGCATAAAATTATTTTGTTATTCATAGAGAAAATATATTGGGGTTTAACTTATATTTATTATAGTTATATTGAGTTTTCCCCCCTTTCTTTTCTTTTTTCTTTTCAGTAGAATTTGTTTTGTTTTGTTAAAAGGCAAGGTGGGACTTAGGCGGGGGCCTTTTCTGCTGTGGCACACTACTAGAGCAATCTACTTCCTTCTGAGGTGAGGTTGGCCTCATCACTTCTAACTAAGAAAGTCCTTCAAGATCTCGCTATTCCATATCAACTAGTGAGGTGACTTTCTATTAATGTTTTCTTGTCTATTATTTCTTTATTTTAGCTTTGTTCTTAAAGTTTATTTTTTAAAAAAATAATTGATAATATTTTAGGTATTTATTGTTTAAGTTTTCTGTACACCATCCAGAGTCACTTGCTTTCTGAGAGGAGCATCAATATGAAATATTCTAAGTAGAAAAGTGAAAAAAAAGATAAGTATCATTTGCCTGTGATTCCATATTAAGGATACCATAGTAATTCATGTATTGCTGTGTGAATCCAACATGTCACAGAATTGTCTAATCCATTCAGGAATACTATTTAATATTTCACAGCTACATAACACTTTGGGATTTATCAGATTTATCAGAGAAATTCCTGAAAAAATTACTAGTTATGTTAACCACATGTATGGAATTAGTAACACATAAGTGTATAATATCAGAAATATTTCATATTTCTTTCTGAATACAATGTTCACTTGAAAAAGCCTATAATGGCTTATAAATTAAAAATATATTAATAAAAATATTCCAATTAAACCCTACTAAATACTAAATTAACTATATTTTTAAACTGTCCAATGTTGGGTTATCTTATTCAAAGATCTAGCCAAAAAAATGCAAACTTGCAAAATCTTTAGTACAAATGAAAAGTTAAGTACATACCATTGAGCTGTTAAAAATCTATCTTAACAATGTGAACATCCAATTACACTGTTTTAAAATAATTATTAAAAAAGAAATAGTACTAAAGTAAACTAAAAGTTAGAATATAAATTCTTAGCATAATCTAAATGAAGTGAGATAGAAAGAAGTTTCGCCATTAATAATGTACAACCACCTTCCAATCCTATTCCAGAGCAAGCATAGATTAACTCCAAGGTTAACATCAGACCAGCAATCAAGTAAACAATGCCCCAATCAAGAAACTGTCAAAGAAGCCAACTATAAACAGCCCAACAAAAGAATCTCTAAGATTGCCCCCACCAACACTGAGAGGCAAGCCACCAGAATATAAACTGACAGTAAACCACACTCCTCTCTAATACTGATATTACCTAGTTTGGGTAATGAAATGTCTGCAACAAAGCAAGCAAACTCAGATAGCACCAAGGACCCTTCTAAACTATTGTTGCAAAGTATTTGTCTACATCCTAATTATTAAAAAAAAAAAATCTCTGTAACTTGAATTCTACATCTCTGTGTGCTTACACCAAGCATACAGAGCATTTTGCAATAGTTTTAAAGAATATTAGATACAGTTTTATGATACAGAGCATTTTGCAATAGTTTTAAAGAATATTAGATACAGTTTTATGATACAGAGCATTTTGCAATAGTTTTAAAGAATATTAGATACAGTTTTATGATACTTATTCAATGGAAAAGAAGAACATAATTACATCAGCTACCAGCAAAAACAGTACAGGTAGTCCTTGACTTGCAACAGTTCATTTAGTGACTGTTCAAAGTTATAACAGCAATGAAAAAGTGATTTATGTCTGTTTTTCACACATGACCAAAATTCAGATGCTTGACAACTTGCTGATATTTATGACAGTTGCAGGTCATGTGATCCCCTTTTGTGACCTTTGGACAAGTAAAGCCAATGGGGAAATCAGATTCACTTAACAATCATGTTACTAACTTAATAACTGCAGTGATTCACTTAACAAATGTGGTAACAAAGGTTGTAAAATGGGATAAAACTCACTTAACAAATGTCTCAATTAGCAACAGAAATGTTGGGCTCAATTCTGGTTGTAAGTTGAGCACTACCTGTATACAATTTCAGAGAGTTCTTTGAATAAAACAGAAACTAATATGACTATAGAAAATACTCATGTATCTGAAATTATAATTACATATAATTCCATTGCAAAAATTAAAGTTGAGTATTACAAAGGATCAATCATATATGATTGGAGCTTCATAGTATATACCTTTCAAAGCACTTTGAATGTATTTTTTTTATCAAAATAGTAATTAGTTCAAGATCAGTATCTTTTAATAACTGTGGATTCTGAAGATCTGATGATTTAACAAGGTTCTGTAAAATTATTTCAAACTAAACATAATCCAGCAAGAAACTGATCTACACATTACCAAATATCCATTTTTTAAGTCTACACTGTCAAATCAATCGTGACATTTCATATTTTGATGGATTCACACATCAGTCTTTTCAACTAACAATAAACATATAAGTGGAGTTTCAGTGTGCAAGGTCATTATTTAGAATTTTATACTCTGTATTGAAATAAAATAAACTAGGATAATACTCACAATAACTGCAAAGATACAAGCCCATCAAAAAGGCCCTTGGGAATCTCTGTGATCTTATTTCCATAAAGCACTCTGAGGAAAAATATGAAAGGACAAAATAAACAGTATTCTCAAATCTAATGCTTACGAAGAATTGTCTCTTTAGACACAAGCTCTCTTTTCCACCTAAAAGTAATATATTTCAGCAACGTAAGCAATATTAAAAAGACTTTCAAATAAATAAGACATTTAACCCCTTCTGGGTTGAAAATATTTTTCAGTATTTACTGAGATTTTTATGCTTCTTTTAAAGTATTGCATGATCTACTGTATTTAAAAGTTTGAATGTGATACAATTCAAAAGGGTCAAAATCTGTTACAGAATTGGCATGAAATTTCCAGTGAATTGAAAATAATGCATTCATTATTATAGCCTTAGGGAATTGTGTTTGCTCAGGATCGCCATTTGGTTTATCAACTGGATTATGCGGGATAGTTGCAAATCTCATTGGTGTATTTTCCTTTTACTTGTCTTTAACTGTCCATCAGAGGAAATTAGGTGAAGTTGTGTCAGTTCATAATGTATGTAAAACCGAAGAAATGCTTGCAAAGCTAGAGTATCACTTACTGTTTGGGCTTATTCAAAAAAGGCACACCCTTAAAATCTGAAACCCAAAGGAATGCACACATACCACCTTCCCTAATTTGAATCAGCACTGGAAGGAACATCTTTACATAATTGTGCCATTTCAAAATCAGCAGCAGCATTATGTTTCTGTTTCATGAAGTGCCAATCCTCGGTCTGTTTATTCAGACATAATCCCAACAGTTTCAGTTGGGTTTAAAATTGCGCTATTTTAGAGTAGTTCCACTTTTGCCAAAACAAATATTAGGATTAAAAATTCAAGAAAAGCATGAACACTTTTGAGAGACTTTCTTTTGACATTAAGATACCAGGATGTGTCTTGTTGAAATAACATTTTCTGGCCAAGAAAGGATTGCTTGTCTTCTTTTGCATTGCACATATTTATCAGTGTACAACTAATTGGCTGGCAAAGCTATGTACTCCCCAGAACATTTAATGCATCCAAATCAGAGAACAATGATTAGTACTTGCCTGCTGCTCCATATATGTTGATATATTTATGCATCGTACCAGTTAATAGAACCTAAAATTCATCAGTTTTTCAAGCTAACTTTATTTTCTTATAAATACCTTATTTAAAAGTCAGATTAACATATCCTCAAACCATCTATTCAGGCTTTTAAAGACCCATAAATGTGATCCAAGGACAGTACTAAAAGCTTGACAGGCCTGCACATTCTGAAACTAAGCAAAAGCCTGTAGGGAAATGTTGTATATTTGTAAAGTCCAAGAAAAATGTTATATTTATAGAATAGAATATATGAAACAAAATTCAGCCTAGTCGTTCAAGGTAACAATGATCACCGCAATAGGATACCATTGCATTCATTCAACAGTATCTAATATTTCCTCATTTATTCAGTGATAATGTAAATGGGAAAGACACACCAAATACTAACCATTTGAGCCAATTTATTCTAAATTTTAAAAATTGGCCAAAAGAGAACTGCTCTATAGGATGAACCAATGTTTTACCATTACACGAATAGGCTAAAATAAGGCAGAGTGGAAACTTGAGCTGAAATGGGTTTGCTGAGTGAAATTCCCACTAATGTTTTGATCATTTACATTTTTAGGAATTGTGATCACAGGATTATGCAAAACAAATGCAATTATAAAGGCACAAAGAAATACACAGTTAGATACTTGTATTTCAGTATAAATATTTTGGGACTTAAAGTCCTAGCTGCATCTATTTGTGCCTTCCTATAACAGATAATCAGAGTTGGAAGGGACCTTATAGATCACCTAGTCCAACCCCCTGTCCAAGCAGGAGACTCTACACCATTTCTGACAGATGGGAGTCCAATCTCTTCTTGAAAGTGTCAAGTAATGGCACTCCCACAACTTCTGAGGACAAGCTGTTCCATTGGTTGTTCTCACTGTCAGAAAATCTGTCCTTATTTCCAGTTTGAATCCCTCTTTGTTCAGTTTCCATCCATTATTCCTTGTCTGGCCTTCAGGTGCTTTAGAGAATAGCTTGACCCCTTCCTCTCTGTGGCAGCCTCTCAAATATTGGAACACTGCTATCATGTATCCCTGGGTCCTTCTCTTCACTAGACTATAGAAAGTAAAATTGACTGAGAGCTGAAAAGCAAGTATGTCTTGTGGAGAAAAAGATAGTGTATTTCTTCATAAATTTGGTTATGTAATTGTGATTCAATTTTACTGTTGCAATTCAAGGTGCTGTATTAAATGTCAAGTATGTTGGAGATAAAATAAAATTTTAAATGGCTGACCACTAAAAATACACTTTGCAGAACCCCCAAAATATATTTTAATAAGTGATACACACGCAAGCACACATAAAGAAAAAAAAATATTGAGTGAAAACACAAATTTAATTTTGAAAGCTGAGCTCACTAATATTTTATTTTATTCTTTCTATTGTCAGTTGAGTCCCTGAGAAGTTTAACAAAAAGCTTTGAGTTTTACCACAACTGAAACATAATTTAAAGATTGCTTTCTTACTTAATCTGCAATCTCTCTAGCTTTCAATTCCAAATAAAATCTCAGAATATAATATCATTAGGCAACTGTCCCATAGTGCTTTTTTATATTAGAAACTGTGGGCTGCCATTTGTAAAGAAAAAAATATATATCCAGCATCCGTTACTATTCTGCAATAACATAGGAAGCTCATAAACACTATTGAAAATATTAAACAGAAAGTTATTCCCCCACTCCCACTTCTTAAAATTAAGATGGAAAAACAGAAACTTGTTTCATGGAGAAGAAAGCTGCCCAGTATTAATTCAGATATGCACATACAATCCGAGGGTTGAGTTTAGGAATAAGTTTATCACATAATTTATTGTTTGACACATTAACTAAAAATGATTACACTGCTCCAGAAGAGCTTAATACAGAGCCAAAGCAACATAACATGACTTATTGGGTGTAATTCAGATGTACTACCAGGTGCTTTTATTTACTTCGGCATACAAGCAAGCCTCACTGCTAAATTGTAAAATTGTGCCTTAAACATTCAAAATGTAAAAATGAAAATGCTCTATTCATTAGAGAGGAACTATGAAAATGCAAATGAATGGGAAAACATTCAGATGCAAATGTGGCAATCTCTAGCATACAAAATAGGATTTTACAACATCAAGGTCCTTATGTTGGCTTTTCATAGACAGATGCATTGACATAAATATTTAGCATTGGAATGCCAACGTACTGAGTTCTAGGACTGTTGCCATATTATAATATTGTGTTTATTTACAAAAAAAGTTTTGTGGCATTTAAATTAAACATTTTTTTTCAAATAACCATAGACTAAAGGATATACTTTTTAGTATAGTAGTAATAGTAAATGTTTAGAAGCTATCTTCTAAATTTGCTATTGTTACTTGGCCAACTACTGATAATAGGACAATTACACTGTGTTATAAAAAAGAAAATTGTATTACTTACATCATTTTATTACACACTATTTTTCAATAGTGTATAATAATATAATACAAAACATAAGGATTTATAACATAAAACAATGATTTTAAGGAAATCCTTAAAAACTGAGCAAAATAAAATAGCTAGGATACCATGGCAGAGAGAGGAAACTTTCCAAAAGAGACATGAAAAAAACAAAGAAGAAAACTTTTCGACACCTGTTATTTACACTTTGCAAAGAATAGAGTCCCGTAAAAGATAGAAATTGAATAAGATCTTGTTGAATATTCTTCATGATGGCGTTAAAGTTTCTTAATTAATTCAAAACTGATTTTGAAAATATACTTAGTTCTAATTCAAGCTCAATAAATATATTTTCTAGAGTCAGTTTGTTCTTGATCTATGGCCATTCTAGAAAGGATAACTTGGTTACAATAATTCACACATTGAATCAGAATCAAAACTGAGCTGGAAGGGAATTTGGAGGTCTTCTAGTCCAGCCTCCTGTTCAAGGAGACCTATACCATTTCAGACAAGTGACTGTCTGAACATCAAGTTTTGATTTCTGCAATGTACTGCATGTTGGTTTTCCCCAGCAGATCTAGAATTGTGGCTGAAGCAGATAACTTTTTTTTAAAAAATAAAGTTTTATTTGGGTTTTCACACACAAAATACAAGTAAAACATCTTTTTTGAAAATAGCATGGTCCCGGGTTGAACTTCTTTATATAGACACAAAACTCAATTTCATGGTCCTTTTTGTATTCTATTCCATATCTTATACTATTTTACATTTTCTATATAGTTTTTCCCTTCTTTTAATTTTCAATTTTATTTTGATTATCTCATCTCAATTCAAATCATTATATTTATACCTTTGTCTGTTCTGTTTCAATTTCATATTATCTTTTCTCATTAAACAAATTTTCTCCTGTAGTTACTAATTGGAGCATGACACCTTTATATCTTTTAATTACATCCATTCAACTCTTATTTAAACTTCAGTATATACCTTAAGGTTATGACCTTCAATATAATACATAACTTCCAATCGAATTCTGCTTGGTACATTCTTATAATATACACTATATTCTTTAAAAAAAATAAAAAATAAAAAAAGATTGTAAATATATGTAATTATAAACCCTCATTCCATTCCAGTTCAGTTCTATCATTAATAATCATTAAAATCTTAACATCTTTAACACTTCTTTTCAATTAGATATCATATTCCTTAAAAACACATATAATCTCCATAATTAATTTTCCCTTATTTCTCTTCACATATGTTTTATAAATCATTAAATATACCTTTTGTTACATTTATTTATTGACAAGCATTCCACTGAATTATGATAGCTATTTTAATAGACATTTTAATCATACATTGTTTCATATTTTCTAAAATTATTTCTGCTTCTAATATAACCATACATCTTATGTACCTTTGCAGAATCCCTTTTTCCATTAAGTTTTCACCCATTATCTCTAAATAGACCCTGTTTCTCTATATTTTGCTTCTGTCCTTTATAACTTCTTTTCCTTTCTTTCTTCCCTCTCATCTTCTCCCTCCCCCTTTTACTACCTTGTCTCTCTAGTTCTAATTCTCTCTTCTGCATTTCCCTCTTCTGTTGCGTTCTGCTTTTATACTTATTTTTCACTCTATTTTTTTTTGGGGGGGGGTTGTTTTTCACAATCTTAAACTTTCCATTCTCTTTCTCCCCCTTTCTTTTTTCCCCCCATCTAAGATTACTTGTTCGTTAAATATGGCTTCTTCTTTGTCACAATCTTCTTGTTCTGCAGGCATTTCTTGTTGTTTCTCATAATTCCAAATCTCCATTTCTAAAAACTGAAATACGAAGCCAAAAGAACCTCTCCCTTCTTGTACATCTTCTTTGTACTTTTTAAGTTCCATTTTCAGTTCTTCTAAAAGTGGAGCCATTTTAAAAAGTTTTAAACAACCACCCGATTGATTTTAGTCATTCAAAACAATAACCAAGAATCCAGAAATCATCAAATAATCCAGATAGTCCTGAGTTATATCTTCTTATTTCTTTTTTGACTTTCTCTTCCTGGGGTTTTTGTTGCGATATTTCAGTTAAAATGTATCTTTTGGAAGTCTTGTTGAGATTTTGCTGTAAGTTCTTTTTTAATTCCAGGCAGTCTCCTCCCTTCCAGATCCTGCCCTTTTATTCTTCCTCTCTCCTTTCCTGTTTTCAAAAGCTTTTAATTATCCAGAAATCTTTATTATCGCTTTGACTTTTTATTTTCAGCATTAAATGCCTATTGATGTCAAAGTGGATTTTTTTCCCAATTTCTTGCTTAAGTCTCTTAGCTGTCAGTATAGGAAAAGGCGAAAACCAAATCTTTTCCCTTTTCTCTCTCCTTCGCAGCTTAAAAATCTTCTTAGGGAATAATGTTATTGTTTTTTAACAGTTTCAATTCCAGGGTACTTTATTTGTTGCTTTTGCTGTTTGACCCGGTCAACCAAAACTTTCTCTTCTTATCTTCCTCCTGCACATTCTTTTCTGGTCGAGTTCTTCTTTGTGGTGGCCATTTCTGACCACCGCTGCAACCGCCTTCGGGAAAGGGAGTAATGACCAGCTGGGGAGGAGAGATGCGGTTCTCCTCAACCCTGCTGGCAGTCTCCCCCTTCTTCACCACCTCTACGGGGTGGCTTAGCCCCGAAACCAGCCAGCTCGGGGCGCTCCAGCGGCAAGCACAGATCGAAGCCTCGCAGAGACGAGGTTTCGGTCTGTCGCTGAAGAAGCTCAAACCGGAAGTCCAGCAGATAACTTTTTGTAAACAACTTACAGTCTATTCTTAAGGAGATACCATTTGTGATAGAGTCAAATTCAATGTACAAAGCTTAAAGCTCATATCTAAAGGAGTGATTTTCTTTTTATACTTATGCTTTATAAGACTGGCACCAACTTAAGAATTTCCTGTTTACTTATTCCAACTGGTTCTGCTAATTAAATTTGATACTATCAAATCAATCAAGTCTTAGTTTTGAAAACTTTTTATGATTTAAGTATTTTATTATTTTAAGATTGTTTTAACTTTAATTATTTATTATCTATCAATATACTAAAACCTCATTGTCATAAGTTTTAACTGGGCAAAACACTGCATCACACAAGAAGAATTTTTTAAACCAAACTATTTCAAATAGTAATAATATTCAAAATGCAGACAAAATTTGGGACCCTCTGTGCAATTGAAATCGAGCAAATTTTATAAAACAATTTCTATCATAAAATTATCATAAATAGTTTATGGCATAATGTAACATGCCATAAAATATTTGTGTGCTTATTTTTGATTATTCAACATGGCTATTTTCAAGACAGATCCCTATTTGAATATACCCTAACTTTTCCAATGAATGCAATACATTAGAAGTTCTATTATAGCTGAAGATATTGGGGCATCTGGTAGGGAAATATCTCTGAAGGGATGAGGTGAGGGTTGTCTAGCTGCTTATACTTTAACTGTTTGTTTTCCCTGTTTTTGCTTTATTTTTTAAAATCTGAAAAGTACATTGAACATAACAAACAAATAACCAACAAATTATTCAAATCTTTTCTGATATTTGCTTATGTCCTTTTAAAGCTATCCTAATTATAAAGCTATTTATTATGTGTAGATGAGCTAAAATGCTGCTTTAAGATCCAATATTATCTGACTGTGGTTCCATCAGAAATTATTTATTGTTAGGGCATACTATAGCCCAATCACCTTTTTGAGAAAGCAATAATACATAGAGTGGTTTTGATGAACTAGGCATATCATTATCAAATTAAATTTCATTTATTTTCCCAAGAACAAATTAGGATTTACAGGTGAAATTCAAAAAATTAGAATATTGTGCAAAAGTTCATTTATTTCAGTAATGCAACTTAAAAGGTGAAACTAATATATGATATAGACTCATTACATGCAAAGCAAGATAGTTCAAGCCGTGATTTATCATAATTGTGATGATTATGGCTTACAGCTCATGAAAACCCCAAATCCACAATCTCAGAAAATTAGAATATTACATGCAATCAATAAAACAAGGATTGTACATAGAACAATATTGGACATCTGAAAAGTATAAGCATGCATATGTACTCAGTACTTGGTTTGGGCCCCTTTTGCAGAAATTACTGCCTCAATGTGGTGTGGCATGGAAGCTATCAGCCTGTGGCACTGCTGAGGTGTTATGGAAGACCGGGATGCTTCAATAGTGGCATTCAGCTCTTCTGCATTGTTCAGTCTCATGTCTCTCATGTTTCTCTTGGCAATGCCCCATAGATTCTCTATGGGGTTCAGGTCAGGTTAGTTTGCTGACCAATCAAGCACAGTAATCCCAGGTTTTGGTGCTTTTGGCAATGTGGGCAGGTGCCAAGTCCTGCTGGAAAATGAAGTCAGCATCCCCATAAAGCTCGTCTGCAGAAGGAAGCATGAAGTGTTCCAAAATCTCCTGGTAGATGGCTGCATTGACCCTGGACTTAATGAAGCACAGTGGACCAACACCAGCAGATGACATGGCTCCCCAAATCAACACAGACTGTGGAAACTTCACACTGGACTTCAAGCATCTTGCAGTGTGTGCCTCTCCATTCTTCCTCCAGACTCTGGGTCCTTGGTTTCCAAATAAGGTGCAAAAGTTGCTCTCGTCAGAAAAGAGGACTTTGGACCACTGAGCAACAAACCAGTTCTGTTTTTCTTTAGCCCAGGTAAGATGCTTCTGACGTTGTTTGTTGTTCAGGAGCAGCTTGACAAGAGGAATACGACATTTGAAGCCCATGTCCAGGATCCGTCTGTGTGTGGTGGCTCTTGATGCACTGTGTGTGGTGCACTGTGTGTGATGCACATACACTGTGTGTGGTGGCTCTTGATGCACCTCAGTCCATTCCTTATGAAAGTCCCCAACACTTTTGAATGGCCTTTTCCTGACAATCCTCTCCAGGCTGTGGTCATCCCTGCTGCTTGTGCACCTTTGTCTTCCACATTTTTCCCTTCCACATAACTTTCTATTAATGTGCTTTGATACAGCATTTTGGGAACATCCAACTTCGTTTGCAATTACCTTTTGGGGCTTTCCCTCCTTATGGAGGGTGTCAATGATGGTTTTCTGCACATCTGTCAGGTCAGCAGTTTTTCCCATGGTTGTGATTCCTACTGAACCAGACTGAGAGACCATTTAAAGGCTCAGGAACCCTTTGCAGGTGTTATGGCTTAATTAGCTGATTAGAGTGGGACACTTTGAGCCTAGAATATTGGACCTTTTCACAATATTCTAATTTTCTGAGATTGTGGATTTGAGGTTTTCATGAGCTGTAAGCCATAATCATCTCAATTATGACACATCACGCTTGAACTATCTTGCTTTGCATGTAATGAGTCTATCTTATATATTAGGTTCACCTTTTAAGTTGCATTACTGAAATAAATGAACTTTTGCACAATATTCTAATTTTTCGAGTTTTACCTGTAAGTACCATTCAGTAATCTTTGGTTGTCCCTAATGATATGGTCTTCAATATTCAGGGAAATAAAAATACAGAGTGTGGCCTGATGTTACCATGGCGTAATAATTAACCTTCATACTGTGTTAATCTGTAAAAGGAATCTAGATTTGCACAAACAATGGCACTTTCAGCTCAGATCAATTTCAGTTAAACAAAGGTTAGATCTTCCTACAAGGAGAAAATTACACAAGGAAAATGAAAGCATAACATACCAATATTTAATCCACTTATTTTTATGTTTTTTTTAAAAAAGCTCCCTTTCAAGGTTAGTCTGTACTTACAAAGAGGTGAGTAATTTCAATCCATGAAAAGCATCTGGTGCAATATCTGATATCTGATTCTTGCTGATATCACTGCAAGAAGATATAAGAGAAAACAAGACATAGACTAAAAAAAAACCTCACATGCTTCTGAAAACTACTTGTGCTTAAAAAACTCTGGACCCACTTTAACTCTACTTAAATTGTTGTGTCTGATTGTTGATTATGTTGTTGATTGAAAAGATAATGAATCGTAGAAGGTATCCTGGGCTCACTTCAATGAGGAAACAATTCTTACTGAGGTGAAACACATTTCCTCAAAAATGCTGCTTTGCTTAAACTTTTGGTGAAGCAAAGAATCCTTAGTGAATAGAAGTAATATAGTCACTTTCTGAAGATAGCACCACCTTAAAAAAAGCCCATACAATTCAGTCAACTTTTTGTGTGGTTATGTATTGTTATTTTATGCATAAGCAATATATTTTACTGTATCAAAGCATATGAAGTCAAGCTGTATAGTTATTTATTGTCACTTACAGTACCTATGGCTATTTCAATCTGAATTTCAGTTTCACATTTTCCTCTCTTTCCTTTCTAATCTAATATTATTGTTGTGGTATCCACTTGTATTATACTATTGGCAAAAGCCCCAGCATCTCTGATCAGTCTGAGCTCTCCTTTGGGATTTAAATTATTGAACTTTCTGTCTGTTTTATATGGAAAAGTCTTATAAGAAAGTGTTATTGTGCTGAAGGAAAAAAAGAAAGAAAAGAAACAGCATTGGCTGCCTCTCAGGATTTAATTACTCAATGTGAACTTAATAAGAACACTGAGCATCTCAAACTGATTCTCAGGGATAGCAGAAATTCTTTGATGCTGGATGTGGACAACGATATATATTGAACCTATAAGCAAACTCATCCATAAACAATTGGGATTGTCCAAGATAAAATATCATACACTGAAACTTTAGAAGTTTGGAGTAAAGGACAGTACAAACTCAAATTTGCTTTCATTCACAGTCCTAGCAAAACTGTGGTAACAGAGTTGCAAAATACTTTAAAAATAAATATGCTTACATATACCAACAGAACATTTAATAAGATATCTAGTGCACAGACTGGTCCAGATTTTTTTTTGAGTATCTTTCATTCCTTGAGCCTACCACATTCTCTCTTTAAATCTTGGATCTTTTGAGATACATAGCTGTGGAAATGGTGAATAAAATTTTGCACAATGTAATGGAGGCAATGTGTGTATTCTTGGACAATCTCTCACTGGATTCAGAAGATTATGCCAATTACTGCTCAGCTTTAAATGTTCCTTTTTGAGACAAAATGCATAATACAATAGATCTATACAACTATACCTATTTTCAGAATGCACTAATTATTTCTACTTTTTCAATCTGGTTTCAGTTATAGAAATCAGCTTTCATTACCATAACAGGTGACCAGCAACAGAGAGGCAGAGGCATTTGAATCAAGATTCTGCTCAAATTGTGAGTAGTTTTTATTTTCACCCACATATTCCCTTTGAGTGTTGCAATAACATGAGAATTAGAGAATTCTGATGCAATGGTTCTCTCCTAATTTTGGGGACATTTACTGTTTTATTCCCAGTACTGTTCATATGAAGCCATTGGGAAAGGTATAAATACTTACACTCACTTGACATAATATGCATGTTCTAAACCAGTGTCTAGATATATATATGAGAGCAAATAAACCTAAACAAGATGAAGAGTTGGGAGTTCAGGGGATAAGAATTGAGTTTGTTCTCAGTTGGGCTGCATTCCTTTAGGAAAAATAGTGACAGGAAGGAATGCCTATTACCAGCTTCATCAATAATGGCAGCTGTATTCTTTTATGAGACAGTTTTTCAATGTTGTTCATGTATTTAAGTGCAGTCTACTTGGGCTACCCTTGTGTTTAATCTGGAAACCAACTAGAATGCAGCAGCCAGATAACTGAATAAAACACCTAACTGTACCCACATTTCACCAGTTTTGATGCAATTGCACACACAATACTTTTTACTACCAATGTAAATTTAGAATTTGTCCTGTCTAGAGCAATTATACTTGAACTTGTTTAGTGTTTTCAACATCCACATTAGCATCCATATTAAAAATATTACTATGTTGCTTTTGAAAATTGAAGTTATTTCATATCAACTATTTCATATCAAACTAAATAAGAATACTAAGAATACTACTATTGCAAGCAAACTGCACTTAGATGATTTTTCTTTCCAAGAACAAGGAACTTACTTAAGTAAATTTAAATAAATAAATAAATAGATAATACTTAAAACAGTTTGTGGATAATACAGAAAGTATAGTGTATCTAAAACTACATGACAATTTAAAACATTAATATGTTTTAAATTGTCATGTAGTTTTAGATACACTGCTTCCATTGCACTAAGAAGATAACCCCATCTTAATCCCTGCTGGGCTAAATTTATGGGCTTAAATACAAATACATTAAGTGGGTTTAATTTTTGCATGAGTCTGTTCTATTGTTTCTTTAATTTTTGCATGAGTAGTTTTCCTTCACTTTTTGTCATGTCTGTTCTATTGTTTCACGCTAGCTTGTCTCAAAGAGTGAACTTTTAGAAATACAAGTGACACTGCCAACAAACTCTACTTCCCCAAGCTTGCTTCATGAGATAGAAAAAACTTGGCACAAATTTGAATAAATGCGGGCACTAAAGAGAGAACAGGAAGAGAAAGCAGCCCAGTTTTAATCACCTAGGAAATCAGCTTTCTTTCAGGAAATAAAAACTAGAGGAATATGTACAAGGTGTCAAATTCAAGAATTACACACACAATTTTGTATAAATATGGAACTCTGGACACCCTGGTGGCAAAATTAGAACTTTGCCTACATGGTTGCCTCAAAGAATGGTAAAATATACTGAAAATATTAAGCATACCAAGACATTTAACTTACTTACATTCTTTTAAGTTTCTTGTATTGAGAGAAGGCTCCGGGAGGAATGGCTTTTATGGAATTCTGCTCTAAACGGCTGGAAAAAAAAATACAATTGCCAAAATTGTAAAGGTATAGGAACAATCCTTGATATTTAATTTTTATTATTGATATAAATTTTGCCAAGATAAAGCTTATTTTGAAAATCATATTTTAAGTAAAATAGGCAAAAGTAAAGAATCACAAATATGGATTTAATATTATTAATAGCAGAATGACAAACATTTTAATAAGAAGCAGGTGTAGCACATGTGGTAAATTGTACCATATGCCCTCTTTAAATGGTAATAGTGGCATAATAGATTTTCTCAGCAAAATCCAAGGAAATATTTTGTTTTTCTAGAGCAAATCTATGATAAGCAATGAGTATATCAGAGGAACACGGAAAGCAAAGGTCCTGTTGCACAAAGATATTTTAACTTGTTCAGCATTACAATTTAGATAGAGGTTAAATAGAATATTAGATATCTAGCATATTGGACTATATGATCTCAAGGTCCTTTCAGGCCTTACCTTCTATGATTCTAAGATCATTATAAAATTGAAGAGGATAGTCTTTAATATATTCCATAATACTTTGTAAACAACTTTACATAGTTTTAGAATAGTAAACATACTGTTGTACGTTGAACTCTATCATAAAGTTCTGAAAGATATCATTGAAAATATCTCATAGGCCTACAGTTCTCTGATCTGTTTTGATATACTAAGAATCAGGTTTTTTTTAACCTTTGGGAGTTTTATTTTTAAGACTTCAACAACTGTTCAGGTCAAATGACAAGAACAATTTCCTTCACTTGCTCTAATAAAATTGAAAATACTGCAGAGAACACACAGCAGCTTGATAGATTCAGAGATATTCTGAACATGATATAAGAGCAAGTCCCTTTATATTCTGACTTATTATTGTCTTTGAAATAACTTTTGCTATCCAGACCAGACTTTCAACAAAGCAATAAAAACAGCAAGCACGAAAAAAAGATGTACTAAAAGTGAACAAATGATCTTATACCAATAAAAATCATAATATATCCTGTACAAGTACCATTTTTTGTTTGTGTCTCTATGAGTACTAGAACTCTACATCAAAACAATAAGATAGCATTGTGTGTGTGTTTATGTATGTATATGTGTAGCAGCACAGAAACAAATTATGTCTTAAAGCCAGGACATTAATTGGTAATAATAGAACTGCATGCAATATACTGTATTGATAAATATATGTTATTAATATATGCATGTCATTTATATAGGAGAAGTAATACAGATGTTTAACACAGAAGGATACATTATTCATATAGAAGAAAAAATAGTATGACAAATAAATAAATAAATAAATAAACAAACAAACAAATAAATAAATAAATAAATAAATGTCTGGTAATGCCTATTATAGTATATTTAAATATGAAATTATGTCCTTTTGGTGAACTATTTTCCAGCAAAGATCTGGTGGTTTCAGATTGTAAATAACTTATTTAATTTCACAGAGCAGCCACTCATAAAGCCACATGAATCGATAACTGCTACATTAGTGGATGTGTAGCATGAGTGAATGCAAAAATAAGTAAATATAAAGAATAAACATTCACCTCTGGAACAATCTATCTCTGATATATGACTTTGTTGACCAGAGATATGAAGTGTACTTTTAAAAATAATTCAGGAAATTATGTATGATATCCAAGGTATGGTTAAATCACCAATGTCTGTCAATACTTTTTTATATTTTAATAAGTTCATATTTATCTAGAATATCATTGCTTTATAGAAGTAGTAGTTGATTTACAACAAATAATTTACATAATGCTAGAAGCAAACATTTTCTTCTAGCTCAATGTTTAAATATTCATCAAATAACAAATAATGGCTTCTTACCATACTGTTATTAACTGTAAACATATTTGTTAATTGATTAATAGAAGGTGGTTGATTAGTTAATGTTTACTAAGCTGTAAAATCAGTCTGTTGGTAGGTTGATGATGTAGAGGAACAGTAAATTCTTTCCCTGAACAACTGAATGTACTCAGTATCCATGAATGTTGATTATGATAGAAAAGAAAATAGACTGAGGTATAGAGAATATTTTTGAGGACCTTTTAGTTTCTATTGCTCAGAGGATGACATGCTTCATTGTTTGACTAGAACTTACAGCAGCATTTTCTTTCACGTTTTGCTTAGACTTGAAAATAAGCATTGGATAAGTTCATACTTTATCATGCTACACTATCTAAACTGAACTATTATGCTTCACTTTAGTGTTTGGTATGGTGTGTGAGCCCACCAAGTGCATTTTTACACTGCAGGTTTTCCAAAAGAATAAATTTAAGATTTTGTTAAAGCAGACTGTCTAACAGTCTTACTCAAAAAGAGCATTAAGAAAGTAGCTACTGTAGTAACTATAATAATCTAGAGGCCTTTATGGATTTGTTAAACAATGATTTTTGGATTTGTGATTGTATAAAGGGGGCAAGGCAGAAGTGAATAATGTGTCTAATCATATAGTAGGGATGAATAAAATAATTTGCTTTTACTTGTTACATGAAGGATCAGGAGTTTTTTTAAAAATACTTTTTTCCATTTTTTTCTTTCTTTGTTCTTTTCTTTTTCGTCTGTTCTTTTTCTTTGCACTTTGTATTATCTTTTTAATATTTTTTATTTTTATTTCTGAGCATAGTTGGCCTTATTGTTTAGTGTAGCAAAAATTTTCATTGAAAGTATTTTTTAAAAAAAATTGACTGAGTTTCTGTTATATTTATACCAGAAAGACGTGCTGAGAGTCATCATGAATGCCTTCCCTTGAAACCAGAGTTCCACTATATTTGCCCAGGAATGTGAGACGCCCAAAAAAGGAAGACAGAAAAAAAAAAAACATCTGCTAATGTATTTTTAAGGAATCTCTCACTTCTTGATGTGAGATGATGGATCTTGAGAGCAAAAGACACAATGGAATCACTGGGAGCTTTCCATGGTGCTGCTTTGTCTTATGAAGTTAATGCAGAAGAATCAAGTTGCAACTTCTTTTGGGACATTCAAAAGTTATATTACCTGTCTAAGTGCATGTATTTATATATACACACATTCATGAAATAGAGGCATGCAGTTATACTTGGCATTTCTTAATATTTTCATAAACTAGGGAAAGTCACTAAGCAAATAAGCAGCTAATCTTTCATGCCATTTGAAATAATTAACACCACAATAATAATAATAATAAAACAAATCAGAGAATAGTTTACCCAATGTGGAAAAAAAACAATCAAAACATATTTTTCTATGCAATCATCTTCAATAGATAATTGTAGTTAGGAAAATATCACTTAACCATTGTATTTTTTCTGGCAATAAAGCTAAACACCAAAGTAGAAAATATAAAATTATCAAACAAAAATACACATTATGTTACATTCTTGCCAATTAAATCAGAGATGCTAACCATTGGATATGAACAACTGATTCTGACAATCCTTTATCAAACATTGCTTTTTCAAAGAAGAATGTGACTAGTAGATTTTAATTTAACTGGAACACAAACAATAACAAACATATCTTTTCATGAAGTTTAGTTCCTTCCATATGCTTCTATAAGTTATAACGAAGTTATCCTTTAGATACAGAAAAAATCAAAATACCAATAAGCAATGTACCAAATGCAAACAGTATAACATATGAAAGCAACAATAGCTATGTCTTTTTAAATATGCCCATTGAAATAACTAGTTATAGCACAGGGATTTATGTTTTGCGATTTTATTTCAGCTAATAAGCATTGCAATCACTATAACTTTATATCTGGTGCCCTTAGTAGACAATCCACTTTATATAAATCAATATTGTGATTGCCACAAAAATTGGGGGAACCATTTTGTATCCAATTTAATGTGATTGATTGATTTCTTATTATAATGATTAATTGTATCATTTTTTTAAAGGACAAAATAGATTGGAGTTGAAATGTCAACACTGTATTGTTCAATTTTACAAAGAATGTTTTTGATAAAGTCATCAATTTTTGTGTGAACATAGTGGTCCTAAGAACACCTGTATTTCTATAGTCTGTTAACTTGTGAGAAAAAAATAAACAAGCAAAAAGAAAGAATAAATTAAGAAATTTCTAAATGGATAGGAAAGTTAAAAAATGAAGGTTCTTCAGGGATCTCTGCTGGCAATAGTCTTTTTGAACTTGTTCATAAATTATCTTTGCAGGAAAATAGTACACAAGTTTGTGAATGATACAGGGTGGAAAAGCTTTAAGAACTGTAGAACAACCTCTTTAAACTGAGTAAAAGGTTAATCAAATAGCAAATTCAGTTCAATTTAAGAAAGTGATACATTTCTTTAAGCCTACAAAAGAGAATAGGCATTTTTCTTGGGGGGGGGGGGGGAGCAGGATATAAACAGGTCCCCATAAATGGTTTACTGAATTGAAGGTCTACTATATCTATTTTTCTTTTCTTTCATTTAATTAATCAGTTCATTTCATTTACCATTTAGTTCAGTTATGTTTCAGGTTGCAATCTTCTATGTGCCATGATTGTTACCAGTTTAGCTGAGAGATATTGATCTTTACTAGCCATAATAGTTTTGGTCAATTGAGTCTTCTGCAATGGCAAGTCAAGGAATTGAATTTAGGTCAAGTGCCTGAAAAACCTGTGATTTACTAATAAATTAAGCCCATTTTTATCATTGTTTTCTCTAATAAGTCATTCTGAATTTAATCCTTAAAAATAAGCACTATAATATTTTTTTTTGGGGGGGGGGGGTTGTCAACCCTAAACATTCATTAAATCACTTATTTTATTTACCCATGAGTGATTCACATATACTTATTTGACATTTTAGGATGTCATTTTGCAAAGTTTGAAAACTCATTATATAGCTGGTCATAAGAGAAACGTGAACAATATCTGCTTTCAACTCTGTATGGGACTAAATCAAAGAAACTGAATTTGACATTTATTATTCTGTGTTATTATAAAAGCATGCTGGGCAATTGATAAATATAATCCAAAAAGATAACTGTCTTATGTTCCAGAGAAAAATCCACAAACCTCTATTATTTTTAAGATAAAAAAGTAGTGAAGCACTGAAGTCCATATGTTTTCAGAAATGAAACACACACATACACACACACACCAGATATTTCAATTAATGCTAATTATTTTGATAGATACATTTCTCTGTTTTGCCTTTCTCTCAAAAGACAGGTTAATCTTATTTGCAACTGTGTTATACTTACCACTATAGAGAAAATTAAGAACATAAAAAGCAAATTGAAGATCAAACCTAAATACAATGTTATATTTTTACATTCCCTATGAAATTTCCCTATGAATTTTCTCTCCATGAAAATAAAATTGAAAATACTAAAAATCTATCAATTTACATGCATTTTTAGTATTTTCACCCAAGTTTATTTTCATGGATTATGGAATAAGAATATAACATTGAATTTAGGTTAGATCTTCATCTTGCTTTTTATGTTCTTAATTTTCTCTATAGTAGTAAGTATGTTGCATGTAAATTCATGCAGGCTGCATGTAAATTCATTTTTAATATTAAAACTATTATATTTCACTTTTTTGTTTTATATCAATGCAGTTAATAAGCAAATAGCATAACTAGTTTCTGGATACTACACTTTCACACAAATTTTAACAGCTCTTTGATACTGGAAAGTGATTAAAAACAGTATTAAAAATCACTCTGAATGTTTAAATTATGAATGCTAATCATTTAATTCAGCAACTGATATGTTATTTGTATCTCAAAGCAAGGTTTTTGAATGGGAAAGGAGCAGATTGTTCTCTTATGGGAATGACAGTTCTACCAACCAACTTTTGTTGCTTTTATATGATAACGTTTGATGGTAAGAATGTAAAAAAGATACTTATTTGGAATTAAATTAAAATGAAAATATTCTTGTATTATACTTTAAAATTTCAGCAAAATCTTTATTTGCTTTTTTAAAAAAATCCTAAATGATTGACTATTATACTCTATAAACATTAAGGACAGATTATAGAAAAAATGATTTATTAAGTTGGCTGATTTATTAAGCTAGTTGATTTATGAAGGTCTCTTTTTTAAATTTATGTTGACTATATGTAACATTAAAAGTAATGTTAAAAATTAAGGATAACCTCTAGGAAATGGATTCCGCCTCTACATATTGCCTTCAAGAATATGGCATACATGACATTTCTTTCTTGGACTGAATTACACTATCAGAGTAAAGAAAACAAAGGAAGGAGTTTCTAACAATTTTTGTGATAGTTAAGAACATTTTATAAGACTTTTTGCAAAATGTTGCTAATTCACAAATAGCTAGCATAAAAACATAAGCACCAACCTAACAGAACATTATATGTTATCTCCCTCTAGCCATTACAAATGGAAAAATCTATGCAAATCTTGCTTAACTTTGTCCCTGTATCTGGGTATGTGGACATACCCCCAGTAAGGTCATGGTCTCCTGATACCTATAATTTTTATTTCATAAGGAAACTGATGATTTACTTGGGAAGTATTCTTGGAGATTATAGATGTTGCTGAAGACTGATGCTTCCCCCCCCCCCCCTTTCTTTCTTGCCAGCTTCACCTTTTTATTTTGATTGTTTTAATGGAAACAGGTCAGATTGGAAGCTAGTGGTATTTGGGAGGGGAGGGTTGGACTACTCTGAATTTTACATTGGGGCATTAGAGTTGAGAGACTTACATTTCCACAATATTCTCTGGTAGGTTGCCTGGAAGTTCAGTTAAGCCCTTTCCCCGACAGTCCACAATATTGTTACTGCAAGTGCAAGCAGATGGGCAATTGACAGAATTGGCATTGCAGGATGGTGGTTCAGCATGTGAACCTGAAAAGGAAAAGAAATCAAAATTTGAAATGTAGTGGGTTTTTTAAACGTGATTAGCCTGAGTGGTGTTATTGGTAATCTAACTGATTGTCACTTCTAACTGTCTTGAAAAGATATCAAAGAGAGAAACCTTCCTTGCAAATGTATTGTCCTTTAAATATTGTATGATATGTTATATAAATGAATTATATTACAGTTTTAACTCCAAGATTTATTTTGTTTTCTTTCCTGCTGCTTCCTTCAATGTACTTGTTCCAGACATGTTGCTGGAGCCAATCTGGAGAAGCCCCAGTGTAGAGAAAGAAGGAAAGTATTCCACAAGTGACATTGTTCCATTATCATTAACTGATATACAGTATATCAGTTGATACAATAGTTAGCAATGTAACCAAACAAAATCTTACATGCATGTCTACCTTGAGAATACAGGAAACATTCTCTACATATTTTTAAGGTTAATTTTAATAATCATCCCAGAGTCCAGATTCTATTCTTCAAAATACCTTCATGTCTATTGAGGATTGCATTGTGTATTTTAAGAAAGGAACAAAGCACTAATTTTTTTATTGATTCTGCCATAAAATTATATTGCTGTTTGTTAATAACAAAACCTAAACAAATTAATCTAAGATGAAAAACCCCAAAATTAAAAAACCAACTTTTATTTTAAAAAAATGAATTCTGAAAGCCTTTTCAAAAGTCAGTAAGGAGACCAGTTCCTTCAATTCAATAGGCAGTTTCCAAAACCAAGGCTGAAATTGAAAAATCTTGATTTCAAGCTGCTTCTAGTTTGTCTCCAGATGTCTTCAAGCGGTATGGAGGATCATAATACATAAAACTTTTGATTAAATAATCTGAATCCAAGAAAAATGGGAAATTTATACATCTGAAAATGAACTAGACTCCAATGAGCCAATATCAACATTGAAATTTGCAGACTAGATCTAAAGGCAGCCTCACGTAGACAAACCTGGAGGAATTAGAAGCAGCACCAGTGTCTTAAAGTGATTTTAAGCGATAGCTTATGACTACCTCCTAAATTAACACTTCCCTTTTTCCTTAGAAATGCTATTTAGAAATATGAGAGCCATTAAAATATTGATAACATTCAGTTCCAAATTATTTTTTAAAATGCAATCACTTTTATCTCTTTTGTTTCAATTAGAATGTTTATTATCCCATGTATTAATGTATGTTTAACTTTTTTAAACACTACCTAAAACAATCACATTTCTAAGTAATATATAAAACACAACTATACATAACATACACAAACCAATATATTAAACTTAAAGAAAGGATACTATTTCTTGTAAGGTTTGCTTATCTAGTTGTTTTTTAAAGCATGTATTTATTTTTGGGTAATACTTTTTTATATTGAGATAAGTACAATTTTGTGTACAGTATTTGAAGCTTTTCTTTTTAATTACTGAGACAATTCTGATTTATAAAACAAGAATTCGTTAAACACCTACCCACACAGAACAGTTATTTTGCATATATTTTTGGAAGATAATTCCCACATTTATGTTGAAAACATTAAAATGCATCGAAAAACAGAAATTTTTATGTATCATTAACAGTTATCACTGAAAAATTCTTTGAAAAAAGCAATAATAGATTGGATTAGAAAATGTATTTCTATGTACATATGTGGTTATGAAAGCCATCAACTGAAATATAACCTCAATTCCCTAAAGATGCAAAACTTGAAACTCTACACCTTGCCTGATAGATCAAGAGTGTATTTGTCTCTTGATAAAATAAAGAGAATTATTGGGATCTTTTTACTGTATGTTTCTGAAATGTCAGAGTTTCCATTGAGAATTCATGGCCTTGACACTTGAGATATTGTTAGCAAAAGTGTGATTGAAAAAAGTTGTCATCTCTTTTTTGATCTTTCAACATGACTTAGGATGTATTGGAAAAGAAATGAATGCAGGCACAGAAGGATGAGCAATTCCAGTCCATCAGTTATTAAAAAAGGTTTATTTAAAAAGAATCCTAAAAGAAGAACACCACTACAGAGAAGTTCTATGATCGTGTATAGATTTTTGCACGTCCTAGAAATATCAGAATCCTGTACACCAGTTTGTGTACTTTATATACATTTCTCAAGCAACATGAAATTATTCACATCTGCATAGTAAGCTGATTTTGACCTTTAGTATGATTTCAAAATCAGTTGAAAGTAATTTAAATATCACAATTATGTTCTTCAGGGATTATAATTTTCTTTCTTTTGTCACAATATGTATCCACTATGCATTAAATTGAATGCCAGAACTTTACATACATTTGCTAATTTATTCCATTTGTATGCAGGTCAGACATAAAGCTCAGAAGGCATTCTCCTGAGAAATATGATTATATTATTTGGTAATTAGCCTTTTACATTAATATGATCTGAACATTTGAAAAAAAAAACCTAAGTATGGAATCATTAACACAGTCCAACAGTTCAGAAAGCCTAGGAACAAATCACAGTAATTTAAAATATTATTACTCTGTTTAACTGAGGCATGACTGAATTGGAATTGGCACAGAGTGACATTTAAAAGGACCAATGTTACAATAGTTTATTTCAAGTTAATGTGAAGACTAGTACAAAATGAGAGAAGAAAGTGAAATAATGAGGTATTACCTGTACAGACATATTCTTTTTTCTGAACATCAGCTACATTGAACCCTCTCAGGTGAACAGGTGCCATGCAGAAGGTGAATTGTCCAACTGATCGCCTTTGGCGCAGCCAATCCGAAAGCCATGCCAGGTGACAATCACAGTATAAATAATTGGAATGAAGCCGCCTACAAAAGGATAGAGCAGAATGAAGGTCAGGCTTATATTCCAGACAATGCCATTAAGAGTCTTTTAAAAATTAATCGTTCTATGTTTTGCATTGCTTTTTTGAATAAAAAAATGGCAACAGAACAACTAGAACTTGGAAACAGATTGTATGGCACATAAGTAAGTTTATTTGTTCATCATAACTGAACTCTGACAACAGGAGATTTAATTTTGCTTCCTTGTTTAAAAAAAATGGGTAAGTAAAGGTAGCAAAAAGACGACATTCTTAAAAGGTGACAAGATATTTTCTTTGTAATGAAAACAGAACTGGAAGCAAACATTTGGATTCTTCCTTTGTCTGACATTCTTTGCCCATTCCTTCGATCTTTTCTCAGAGGCCTGGGGAACTTTTGAATCATTATGGAAAGTCTGCAAACAGCTGCACAAAAATTATCAAAAATATCCTTGCCTATTTGTTGTTACTCACAGGACACCAACTATATGCCATCCAGATTAAATCTTTTCCTTTTGCATGCATAAAATTAAACAGGAACAAGGATGGCTCTTATGTTTTAACAACCTCTTACTTACAGAATATAAATGACATTTTGATATTGTAGCCATTTTGTCTTGTAAAGTTGCACTCATTTTGTCAAATTGTCTAGAAAAAAGTTCTGTTAGAAAAAAAATAACGTAGCTTGAAAGTGCAAATAAACTATCAAATATTTCATTTTTACTCTATGAGTCATGACAGGCAGGCATTAAAAGCACAGTTCCCATGACAATGCTGCCATTTCTATTGGACAGGGTTAAACAAAGCCATCATTCTGACAGACTAACATTACATAGAACGCTGACAAACATAAAGTGCTGTAAAACATAGCCTGATCCATCCACAAAATAAATTAATCATTTCAAAGATCTTTATGCCAGGCTACTGCTGTTGAGTTCAGCAGTGGTGCCTAAACTGACAGTCTCCAGATTTGTATGTTTGCTGATGGCCTGGAGGCACATTTTTTTCCCCTGAGAAGCTTCCAAAATTTATGTCCTTGCTAGGCTCAATAAAGTCTGAGGTCTTGACTGGCAAGGCAAAGTATGCTAGTTAGCTAGCTGTAAAAATTTGAAGTTAGATTTTTTAAATATCTTTTCACTGTCATCTAATAGTTATCTATAATATTGAAGCACAAATAGTACTCCCACTATAAAAAGCATACATACATATCAGCTACTGAGCCAATTAACAGTACAAGCTATGCATATTTACTTGTAATAGATCTGCTTAAAATAATGGGATTGATTACTCAGATCATAGTTATATTTGTTAGTCATGAACACTGAACACATTTATCTGTCACCTCTCTAGTTGTATAAAACTAGTTTCAATCTTTTTTTAAATAGCATTTTTCTTTCTCTATGCTCAGTACCAGGCTTCATTCTGGGTTTTAAGCCATATAATTTCTGTTGGAATTCTGCAACATATTGAGCGCATTTAGAAATCTCCCCTTGAGACAAGCCAGTGGAAAACAATCTGTCAAGCTTTAACCATCTTATGGAAATATAAAACTATAATAAGGAGCAACTGGAAAAAAAGTCTCCAATACATGGCATGTGTATTAGAATTGTTTGGGTTTCTTTTAATCATCAAAAGAGGACAGCCTAATATCTCTGCAGTCATTCATTGCAGCAAATACAACAGGGAAGTCAATATTAATAAAATGAGACAAAACGAATGCAGGTTAATAAATTCTATAAATATAGCTTTCTCATGGAAATGAAATCTGATCAATGCACAGCAATTCTTATTAGTTCTAAATGAGGATGTTTAAATAAATCCATAAAACAAAACAACAACAAAAAGAAATTAGGAAAGTCATAGAATAATAGATTAATTATAGCAAGACACGTGTATTGAGTGCTGCAATGTTATTGTACAGTTTTTCCTAATTTCAAATGAGCTTGAAATTAAACAAAGTATTCAATCTTCCAGCCAAATGATTTATTTCTTAAAACATGAAAGGTTGAAATTGACAGTAAAAGGGGCCATTAAATTGAAATATTATTAGCCACATCTTTTTGTTTGTTTATTTGTTTTGGTTTTGTTCTGACAAACATTGGAGATTGCAACAAAATAGATGAAATCTAAAATGAAAAATCTAACCTATCACTCAGGTCTTACAATTTTCATTAAGAGCAAGACTGCTAAGAAGCTTCATAAATTATTTGGAAGCATACATGTATTGAAAGAGTCCTTTTAAAATGAATGTGACTGTATTTATAGCTTACAAAAGATGAATGAATATACTTTACAATTTCTAAAGGTGAATATTTAGTTACAGTCTAAATTAAATTTCCTTTTCTGTCAGCATTCAAGTTTCATAAAATGTAATTGTTAAAATTCAATATAAAAACTCTCTTTGAAATCCCATTTATGATTTTTCCCATTTTCCCCTTTAATTACAGTAAAAGGGAATTAGTCAATATAAGTCTCCAGGGAACTACATACAAGGCCATCTTTTAAATTAAACTAAAAGGAAAATGGCAGAAGACCTTATCAGCTTGTCACATGTACCAATTTGAAATAGCCAAGATAAAGCTTAGGATATTTTCATGAAAATTAGCAAAAATGTAAACACTTTTTAATTAATAAAAACTTATATGATGCCAGAATCTATACTCCAATTTCTTGAAACTTTTCTCCTTTGGAAAAAGATAATTTTGTTTTTCCTATCTCAATTTCTATCTGTGCTGACATTTATTTTTAATTTGGAATGGGGGGGTATTTTAGAACTTAATTTATTTCTGTAAGAAGGGTAGGGTAAACAGTGCTATTATCTCTGCTTGTCCATCTCACAAAACTCAGTGAGAACAGTTCTCTCTAGACAGCTTTTCTGTAAGATTTAATTCAAGTAGGGGTATCCATGGGCCCTGAAGATCATTGTCTCATTGGATAATGAAATACATGGTCTCTCTCTCTCTCTCTCTCTCTCTCTCTCTCTCTCTCTCTCTCCCTCCCACCCTCTCTCTCCCTGTATGTCTGTCTCTCTCTCTCTCTCTCTGTCCTAGCAAATTAAAAAAAAAATATGTGAATTTCACCAAACTAGATGTTTACCCTCTCTTAGAAGAAAAATGAAACACTGAATGATGGATAAATAAAAACCAAAAGACGGTTTTGCATAGCAGTAATTAATTCATATACTGTAAGTATAAAACCAAATTAAAGTCAAAGACTATTATGGATAATAAGAGCCAATGATATATTACATATAGTACTAATGCTATGCTATCTACAATAAGATTACATCTGCACAATTTGTAATACTCTAACTGGAAAGTCCATTAGAAATAAAATGGAAATGTCTTGCATTTTTGCACTTAAGAGACAAGCTACAAAAAGCAGCCCTTTATTGATCTTAGTGGACTGATATGTGTACTGACAGATACTATTTAACTTCAAGCTTCACAAATCTGTAATAGAAGAATTCATTGTTAAATGTGTGGAGGAGAAATAGACTAAAGCTACGGCTGCTGTTAATACAGTATGTAATTGAACCACAGAGGAGATCTCAACACTGTTAAAATTAAATGGCACCAATATTTAATTCCAAATATAATTTACATGCAATAAAAATGAAATGCATTCAAACATGAATCATGAATATATTCAAGGCAATAAGAAAATAGCTTTCCTCTTGAGGCACGCTTCGCCTCTTTTACTGTATGTATGTTCAAACAATGTTGGCAACCTTCAAAGCAGTTTGCCATATCTTTGAAGGAGAAGAAACTTAGAACAAAAGGTTCAGAGGTGCTTGTTGTTTCACAAAGCACTGCTCCAAACAGTTTGTGCAGACCTGCACACAGCTGTTTGTTCACATTTGTATTAATTAAGTTTTAAATTCACTCTATATGGCTAAAAAGAATATGGAAGTTGTACATCTGTTGCATATGAGGTTAAGAAAGATTTAGCATTTCTGAGTGACAATAGGTCAGCATTTCTTTGGTTAGGATGAATTCTTCATTTTCCCAGACTATCATATTAAACCATACTATGGTTTCTTTGATTTGTGCTTAATGCTATTGGTAAAACAGATCCCCATTCAGTACACTTCAAATAAACTGTGTCTTATTGTGAACTGTGGAGCTAGCCAATGCAACAACATAAACAACAAAATAAAAAAAATATATAGATTTAAGTGTTGATTTAGCTTTGGATTTTTACCATTGTCCTCATAGTCCATCATCAACATTGCAATAATATTTTATATTGCAGCTATTTCTAATTTGTTTTTTATTGTTTTTCTAGCACCTTCAAGTCAGTGTTGACTCCTGGTAATTGCCTGGATTACTCCATCTTTCAGATTTCAGAAGTTGTTTGCCATTGCCTCCTTCCTAGGTGGAGAGAAAGGGATTGGCCCAAGGTGATCCAGTTGATTTTATATTTAAAGCAGGACTAGAATTCCTGGCCTTCCAGTTTCTAGCCAGGTACTTTAAGTGGTGTTCATGTTATAACTATAACTGGCTATATATAAATATTGTAAAGGGAGCTGAAAATAATGCAATGCCTCAGAGCATTGAAAATCCTGTGGTTTGGAATCCTAACTTTCCAGGAAGATTAATCTTTTGAGCAGAGTTCCATTCAGGGAATTCTTCTTCCAGCAAGACAAGAGGGAAAGCAGAAAATTACATCAATAGTTTCAGGTAATGCAGCATTACCTGAAACTCCTCTCTGATGGTTTGAGAGTCTCTATACAATATGTGGGTTACAAAGATCCATGCAACCATTAGAGACCAGCAAAAAACAAAACAAAACCCTAGTCTTTGCTGTGGTTTGATGGTTGTGCAGACTTTTGAAGCCAAGATATAGTCCTATTTTCTAGAACAGTGGTTGTAAAAGACCTGAAGGAGGAAAAGGTTGCCCAATAATTTCCATTTCCCCTTCTGCTCCTTTTTACAAACCTATCACATATTTTCCATATGGTTTCCTCCAAACAACAGTTCATCAACTGTTGAAAACACTGGCCTTGTACAAAGCAAATTCTTCACATTTTGACATGATGTCTTGGCTTCTCTGGAAAAACAAAAATGTTGACATCTACCTACAATGGTAGATCCAATTCTCTTCCACTAATCACGCCCATCTCTAGTTAGGCTTCTCCATGCAATCTATGCTAAAATAAAAATAAAAAGCTTAACAAAAGAACAGCACTTTTCTCTGAAGTAGCTATTACATTGTCTTTGTTTTCATCAATGAATCAAGATACAAAGACCGCTGTGCCATATATGTCAGTCAAAGTACTTACAAGGTTCTGATCTTTGGCATATGGTTGAAGCTGGTGAGAGGGATGCGTGAGATGTTGTTGTTATTGAGGGTACTATAAAGAAAGGAAAACAAACACAGATGGCATCAATTGCAATATTAAGACAGTGCTATTTATGGAACCAGCCTTAATCTGCTAAAAGTATGAACATATGAACAACTGAAGCAGATTTAGAAATGCATTTCTCTTGTAAATAACAATAACTACATACAGTTACATGCCAACAATAAAGCTCAGAATATCTCAAGCACAACACACAATGACTAACTTGATTAAAATAAAGTACTATTCATTTGAGTGACTGTAATGCATGTAATGTAAATATACTACCAATAACAAAAGTGAATTGTAAAGAAGGAAAACAGAATCAGTATATATTCTGGTTCTTTACTCTCTATATTCTAAACCTATCACCAAAGGAAATGTAATTTTGGAATCTTCTCCACCCCCACCTCTGTACTGAGTTTTTAGTCCGAAGCAAATTATTACCTTCCTTTATTGGAGTTTGTATCTTTTTAATATCAATTGCTGAGGAACCAGAGGTGGTATTCAGCAGGTTATGACCAGTTCTGGAGAACCAGCAGCAGAAATTTTGAGTAATTCGGAGAACCAGCAAATACCACTTCTGAATGGAGATTTTATAGTACCCTTCCCCTACCATGCCCACCCAGCCATGCCCACAGAACCTGTAGTAAAAAAAATTGAATCCCACCACTGTGAGGAACACAAGTAGAAGGGCTGCATTGCACTGAATATTTGCTAGTGGACTTCTCAAAGGCATTTGGTTGATTACTGTGGATAGTATTCTGGATAAATATCTTTAACTGAATAAACAACACTCTTTATATTCCTATGTATATTAAGAACTACTGTAATAACAAATCAGAAAGAGGTCAAGTGTTGTAAGCTAATATTTGAATAGAAACACTATAATTAAGATACAAATCACATAGTTATCCTTGTCTAAAAGCTAAAAGGCATTCTATTGTGTTTCCAATTAGATGTCTATCCTCATATAAATTGCATTGCCAACAAATGTTTAATTTGTAGTCCTGGAACATCATTTTTTTCCAACAGAGTCCAAAAGAAGCAAAAGAATGAGTATTCAAGACATAATATTTAGAGGCAGACTGCACCTGACTAAGAGAGTTTGTTTGAAAGTACACTTCAACAGTATTCTGGGAGAATGTAATGTAAGAGGAACAATTATGTATAGACTTCGTATTTAGGAAAACAATAAAGAAAAATGTTTAAGGCAAACCCATCAACTGAACTATATTAATGTTCCATGTTAAACATCAGATTATTTCATCAAGATATTCTTATTAACAGAACAGGAAATTTCCACTCCAATCACATTTATTTAATATATGTTCTGGTAATTGTAAGATATTCTTTGAATATCATTTTCCTTTATTGGCTTTTACGCAACCACGTATAAATGAGTATGAAAATATCTGAAAGTGGGCTTCAAAATAGAAGTTACTGTTTTAATTCAATCATATATAGTTGATTAGTGAAAGCAGAGCCATCCACCTGACATAGATTATTTAATGTTATGAGCCCTCACCAATTATTTTTCTTAATAATCCTTATTTATAACTCATATACAAGATATTAGGGAGGTTACAAATTCACATTTTAGCATTGCCAGTTACAAGGCTTTCAAGTAACAGGAGCAAAGATATGGGAGAACTAGAATGTTTCATAGTGTTCATAATTCATTGTAAGGAAGCTTAGTATATTAATGATTCTTTGGATGTATTTTCTTGTCAATACAGATATATTTATTTTACCAGATAATATTACTAGCAATTGCAGCTGATTTCAAAATAGCTAAGGAAATGCACTGAAGCATTACCTAGTTGGGGAATGAAATACCTGTAAGAAAACAACCAAATTCAATCAGCACTAATAACTCCACAGCTAAGAAGGATTTGGTCCATTATAAAACAAATACTATAAAGTGTTTTAAAATGGAAGGTGTTCATTAGAAACAAAAATAAGAAAACTTCAGAAAAAAATAGAAGTTTTGAGTACTTATGAAAGATAAGCTATGACAGAGTTACATAATGATTTATGAGTGCTAAATAGAACCATCATAACTAAGAAAATATTCACAAAATTGTATAAAATAAAGGTAGCCAGAGTGAGGTGAAACTCATGTTAATAAATTACTGTACCTCCATTGTTAAAAATACCCAGAGTGAGCTTGTTAAAGATGTGCAGAGTAAGCTTTAGAATAATTTTGAGTCGATAAAACAATAACTTTTTATTTATATTTTTATTGTATAATAGTCTGTTATTATAAAGCAAGTGCTATAAATACAACCAAGGAAGAAATTAAGTTTTTATTTAAAGTAGATCTTTGTAAGATTACACATGAACAAACAAACTATTGGGTTCCCCCTTATCTTAAAAAAAGATAATATTAAATCAATAAAAGTTGTTAAACTTCCTGGTCCAGATGATTATCCTACTTTGTGGTATAAGACAGAAGTCAATATGTGAGGTTTTGCCCCAGTATTATTGGAGATCTACTATGGTGCCCTTTAATGAGGCTTTTTCCATGAGACTTATACAGTGTACCTGTTGTTTGCCACCAAGTGTTGTTTTTAATGAGATGGTAGCTATATAGGTGTGCTAAATAAATAAATAACTGTGCGTTTGAAGACTGGTAACAGTACTACTGACTTTTTTGTCTGTTTGATCTCAAAACTTTGACAGGTCTATGGGGCTCATGTCTTAGTCACCTCCCGATTAGATTATTGCAAGGCAGTCTACATGGAACTGCTCTTGAAAACTTTTCGGAATCCCAAACAGGTTCAGAATGGAGGCATGCACACAATTCTGTATTTCTCACAATTTGCCTGAATTATATTACTGTTACCTGAGCTGCAACATACCACCAAGGATATTTGCCTGTCTCACTTAAATAGACAGGAGCTATATTCCAAATCCCTTTTCTTAAATGCTGTCATCTGATGGGACCTTGGAGGCATGTCTTCTCTCTAGATGCACTAGCCTTTTAGAATACCTTCTACTTGAGAGTCAAGGATAATGGTGAAGATCTGATTCTTACTTCAAGCATTGGGCTAGGATAGCGGTTGACTCACAAGGTTAAGAGGTTGATTGATCTGGCACCTTGTAGGAGAGGTTAGTTTGTATTGTTATTCTTCTCTTTATTGATGGCTATGAGTCACCCAGGATTGCAATGTGAAAGCTATACAAGTTTTTCAAATATTATTTTTTTGAAAAAAATCATCCTTCATCTTCAACCCATAATTCCTCTAAGACCATTTCAATGATCTTCATATCACTCCCATTTCCCTTATGAATTATCATTCCATTCTTCTACTTCTTCCTAGCCATGCCAAGCATGATTTCCTCTACTTCTCTCAACTTTGCCAAAAGTATTAAAATATTACATCTTGGTGAGCAAATGACTAATAGTGAAAGATTGAAAGACAAGTATATTTATACATAGTTGCCAGTGAAAACATCAGGACTGATTCCCAGAGAGTGAATAAACTGTCAAAATTGCTCCACTAAATATAATTAAAAGGAACATAACAGTTCCATTGCACTTAGATGGATAAAACAACAGAAACAAGTCTAAGCATCCAGGGGTAATATAGTTGAGTGTTACAGCTTTCTAATTTTAAACATGTTATGACATATTAAAGTCTTTGAGAATTATTCTGTGTCATGATCAAGAATTACATTTTTCCACAGTGATATCAAAGGAATCGAGATAAGATTATTTTCATTGCCTGTATTAAACTATGTGAGAGTTGACAATAATAATACAAGACTGATATTGTGTTGAAACAAGTTTACAATTACTTTGTGGTATCAAACAAAGATCTGTTAATAATGATTACACATGCATCGCAAGCCATAATTTATGATGCAAGTAGATTATTTCCTCTTGAAGGAATGATACATTCAAAGCTTTAACTCAAAGGAGATGTCTATGCACCAATAAAATATGTACAATTTACTTTTTGTACACCAGTTTTGAACACAAAAATATTTGATAATTCCTTCCTCTCCAAGGAGTTGGGTAAGAGTTAAAGAAAGACTTGTTTCATGAATATAACAGAATCGAGTTTTCTGTTGCATTTTATTTCTGAAGCTGATTGCCCCAAACAACTAATCAAATTGACAAATGATATGGTAGATTAAATTTTTGATTAGTGCTTGTTCAGCACTAATGAGCATCTAGCATAATTGCCAAAGAGCTGTTATCCATTCAAGCCCCTGGATAATAAGCACTAGGACTCTATATGGCATTTGGCTGTACTACAACCATCAGCAACATTTTAATGTGTAAAGGAATACTGAAACACAGGTGCTAGGTAGAACAGAAATAACACATAGCCTATGCATCCTTATTTACTTTCTAATAAATTATTTGTAAATATGAGAGGGTGTGTGCACTCACTTATTACCTGTCATATTTAGAAATAAGTTTAATGTAACTACTCATCTTCTTTAAGGAAAAAATGTGATGGATTGTGTTTGTTTAAGTTAGGTGAAAGGGAACATTTCTCTACCATTTGTTAAAAGCTAAATAATTGGTTCAAATATGCTTGTGTTGATACAAGCTTTGCATTTTGCTTAGAACAACAAAATATCACACTTATCATATGTTCAAGCTTAAGCAGTTTAAGTTAATTACTTTAATACGACCATATTATTTGTGTGTCTATAGATTTAACATTTTAAAAGTTTCTCTGCAGTCTCTTACCACTGACTGTGACCAAAGAAGGAACCAAATTTTTCTCTCCTCTTGATATTAAAGATACCTGAACACTTTTATTTGACAATTCACCCAGTTTTTATAATATAAAGTAGAAAATGATTTAAAACCAGTTCCACTACCAGCAATCACTATCTTATAAGCTAAATAAATCCACAATCAATGTAACTTGATTATATTAGAATTTAATTCCTTAATATGATAGGAAACTGATGATTTCACTGCTTTATCTAGTTTAAGACTTTATTTCCTAAATATATCACACATAGAACTTGGAGTCACACACGAG